GGGAGATAGGGAGGAATACAAATAAATTATTATTATTATTATTATTATTATTATTATTATTATTATTAATGCATTTTTTAGACTAGTGGTTTTCAACCTGTGGGTCCCCAGATGTTTTGGCCTTCAACTCCCAGAAAACCTAAGTGCTTGTAAACTGGCTGGGATTTGTGGGAGTTGTAGGCCAAAACACCTGGGGACCCACAGGTTGAGAGCTACTGTCACAAGCACAGTTGGTTAGGACAAGAGAGAAGGCCTTCTCGGTGGTGGCCCCCTGCCTCTGGAACACCATTCCTGGGGAAATAAGACAGAACCCATCCTTCCACTCCTTTCATAAGAGTTTGAAGACCTGGTGGTTTCAACAAGCCTTTGAGAATGACTAGTTCTAGCTCACCCCAAACATTGTTGAATATGACCTTATTTTTCCTACCAGTTACCCAAGTCACTCCCTCGAATAGGCCCCGGAAATGAACAGCCATAGACTGTACCTGTTATTGTTGTTGCCTGCTATAGCACTGCACCTAATTTCTAGAAATTTTGAGCTTGCACTAGCCTTGGCCTGGCCTTTTAAGTTGCCTTGAACAAGCAGGATTACTTTTAATATATATGGGCTATTGTGACAATTTTATGCCTATATTGTTTTGATAATTTTATGTTTATGTTGTTTACTCTGTATGTATTGATGATGTTACTTGGAAACCACTCTGAGTCCCCTCGGGGAGATAGAGCGGTACATAAATAAAGTTGTTGTTGTTGTTGTTGTTGTTGTTGTTGTTGTTGTTGTTGTTAGACATTCAATAGTGAGAATCCAGATTTTGTCAAGGAAGAAATAAATCAAAATCATAGCTACTGAATGCAACTTCCTATTCTTCCAAATGTCTAAATGAGGGAACAACATTATATAATAATATTACATTTTATAATATACTAGCGGTCCCCTGCCATGCATTGCTGTGGCCCAGTTTGGTGATCTGGAAAATAAAGTAATGAGAAAGTGTTGGTTTCTAATATATGTAATGTCTTTCTGCTTGTGGGTAAACAGTATTTCTTGCTGTTTCTTTGTCAGTGTTGATGTGGAGATTGTCCGGTTTGCCTACTCTGGAACATGCAACATATCATTGTCCTTCTTTAGGCGTCCCTTTCAAATCTTTGATACTACATCTGTCATATACATTTGTGTGGGTGTCTGTGAATGGCTGGATGGCCCTTTGCCGGGAGGGCTTTCATTATGTTTTCTTGCCCTGGTGAAGGGAGTTGGACTGGATGGCCTTAAGGCAGCATTTATCAACCTGGGAAGACGGGGGGGGGGGGGGGGGGGGGGGGGGGGGGGGGGGGGGGGTGTCACCAGGGGGTGTCAGAAGGGTCACCAAAAACCACCAGAAAACACAGTATTTTCTGTTGGTCATAAGGGTTCTGTGTGGGATGTTTGCCCCAATTCCATCGTTGGTGGGGTTCGGAATGCACCTTGATTGTAGGTAAACTATAAATCTCAGTATCTAAAACTCCCAAATGTCAAGGTATATTTCCCCCAAACTCCATTTGTGTTCATATTTAGGCATATGGAATATTCGTGCCAAGTTTGGTCCAGATCCATCATTGTTTGAGTCCACAGTGCTCTCTGGATGTAGGTGAATTACAACTCCCAAACTCAAGGTCAATGCCCACCAAACCCTTCTAGTGTTTTCTGTTGGTCATGGGAGCCTGTGTGCCAAGTTTGGTGGAGTTCAGAATGCACTTTGATTATAGGTGAACTATAAATCCCAGCAACTACAACTCCCAAATGACAAAATCAATTTTTTGAGTGAAGGACATACATTGGGTTGTTAGGGGTCTCGTGTCCAAATTTGGTGTCAATTCGCCCAGTGGTTTCTGAGTTCTGTTAATCCCACAAATGAACATTACATTTTTATTTAAATAGATGGAATATCTTTCCTACTGCAACATTATGTTGCCACCAACAGCCAATAATTCTCAAGTTGTCATATATTGAAATACATCAGTGGACTCACTCAGAGTTAATTATGATTCCTTGATGTTTTATTTAACTATTTCATAATGCTTGGTATTTTTTCTGTTCATCATTGTCTTGACTAACAGTTTCTATTAGGTTAGAAGTTTTTCCAACACAGTACTTTTCCAAATAATACATAAATATGAGTACAATATTAAGTGGTATATTATGTTTTGTGAGCCAACAAGAATACATCCTTTTAACCGCATGTTAGTTAGTGGTTGGGATCTGTAAAATTATATTTATTATTTAATATTTAACAAAAATATTATAGCACATTTTTTATATTGTCTATAAAAGCAGTTGGATCATCTAATCTCCAAAACCATAATTAGTCCCATTGAAATAGAATTGCAAGACCTGTTGTAGTTCAGCGTGTTGGTAGCATTGCTACTCCTGGTAGCAGGGAGAAAAGGTCTGCTCAGGAGTCGGAGGGAGAACAACAGCGAAAGTGCATTAGGGAAATCATTATGGCCCCAAGTGATACGGACACGTTTCAAGGCTTCTCAGATTGCGAAATGGGGGATGGGGAAGAGAGCAGAGGTGTAAAGAGGGCTGCTCACGAGCCGGAGTCTGAAGGGGAATTGCAGAGGAAGTGCATCCAGGAAATACTTAGTGTGCCAACAGAGGATGAGGATTTCCTGGGGTTCGAAAGGAGATCTGGGTCTGGGAGTGATATGGAAGAGGAGGAATTGGATTGGACCCGTGTTCAACAAATAAGGGACATTTGTAACCAACCCACCTCCAGTGAGGAATTTGAGGGGTTCACTGAGGATTGGCAGTCAGGGACCTCTTGGCAGGATCTAAGTCTTAGCAGACACTGGCAGAGGTGGAGGGATGGGCGCTCAGATTCAGCTGCAGGGTTGGGGGCAGCTGAGAGCGATGAAAAAAGGGTGGGGAGCTCATCAAGCTCTGATGAGGAACTTTGAGATAAAAGTGAGCTCTGTTTGCATGATACTTTGCAGAAGGCAAAGCGTCTTTGTTGGACATAACTCTTTGTACTGCCAACTCTTGAATTTGGGTCCTTGGGCTACAGCTTCGTGTGTTCCTGAATTCCTGTTCCTCGGTGATTCCTGCGTTCCAGTGTTTGTTTAACAACGGCTTGACCACGGACCGGTTTGACTATCGTTTTTGGCTTTCTGGACTTTAAACTCTTATAACTTTGTGCTTGAACAATTCCTCATTTTTGGACTTCGTTTTTCCATCTTCTGTTTTTGTGCTGTGTCAACTTTCAAGCGAATTGCTTAACTTTGAGTTTAATCCGGATTATAAGGCAGCGCTATAATCCGGGTTATATTTTTGTTACTGGTATCACTTTGTTTTTGATGCCAAATTACTACTGGGACTCTTTGCACTGAAGTTAAGTGCTTTGAAAGACTATTTTTGTATAATAAAGCTGTGTTTGAACTCTTATCTTGTGTTTGGCTCTAATTAAGGCTTCTGGGTCCTGACAAGACCTGTATTGAACTGTTACTTTCAATCAGAATAAACCCACTGAGAAATTGAAATTAACACTTACATTACTTACTTACTTAGGCGATCCCTCGTTGGACGAGTAAGATGGTCTTCCATTATGGGTTTCCTTGTGGGTCCGCATGTGGCTGTGGAGCCCTATTCTTACTTATAAATTCCATTGATTCAGTGGACCTACTCTAAATTAAATTTTTTATTTCTGCTGCATTTCAGTGTAGATGTTTTGTCATTATGTAATTCAAAGCAAAGATTATCTAGTTACTTTGCATCCCATCTGTTTAAGCAAGCCCTTCTCCATGAGTCAAACTGATTTCAGAAAAAAAAATCTATTCTTTCTATTGCATGAATCTATTAGCTACTTTAAAATCTGGAGCCCCCGGTGGTGCAATGGGTTAAACCCTGGTGCCAGAGGGACTGAAGACCAACAGGTCAAAGGTTCGAATTTGGTGAGAGCGTGGATGAGCACCCTCTGTCAGTTCCAGCTCAATATGGGAACATGAGAGAAGCCTCCCACAAGGATGGCAAAACATCAAAACATCCTGGTGTCCCCTGGACAATGGCCTTGCAGATGGCCAATTCTCTCACACCAGAAGTGACTTGCAGTTTCTCAAGTCACTCCTGACACCAAAAAAAAAAAAACCCAAACAAACAAACAAACAAAATTTAATATCTGTTGATCATATACAGGGATCATCTACACTAGCCACTTAAGTTTCAAATAAGTTTTGAAGAAAATGTTTTTGCTGTGTAAATGAGTACATAGGAAATCCTAGTGCCAGTTTGAATTCTGGTGTACAATACATTAAGAGTTTTCTTTCACAAGCTTTGGTGGGTGTTTGTTGTCTAGCCACCTCAGTCTGAAGCTAGGTTTAAACTGCATCCAATGGTCAGTGTAGATGTGGCCAGAGATTCATATATGGCTCTATATGGATGTTCCTTCACAAGTAGTAATAAAAGGTTGGGAGGGGAAAAAAGATGTACAACTGGGAAACAAGATGAAACAATATATTTTGATGAAATACATGGGGAATGACACAGAGGATGCATCTACACTGTAGAATTAATGCAGTTTGACGCCACTTTTCCTGTTATGGCTCATTGCTATGGAATCATGAGTGTTGTAGTTTGGTGAGGCAGCAGTAATCTTTGTCAAAGAAGATAAAGACTTTGTAAAATTACAACTATGTGTATCTAAAGGGGGGATCTCTCTGTTGACTGAGGTTAAGTGAATTGCAGTATCTCTTATGTTTCCAACCCTTTAGTCTGAACAGCTGACACTTTAAAAAAATGAAACAAACTGGTATTTACCCACACTACTGTGAGACGTGATGAAATGAATTTGGGTGGAAAAGATATTCCATTCTCTGATCTCCCCACTTAGAAATTTATATAAATTATAACTTCATTGAAAGTTAAATGGAATGCATGTATGGTTTCTTTAAGCAAAGAAAAATGCACTGATTGGTTGTGCCTACTTTAATTCTATGTTTTGTAATGTTTTTGGTGGATTTATTTACAGAGGAGGAAGAATGAGATGCTGTCAACAGATGAAAAATAAAAGCTACATTTCTTGCAAAGAAGACATCCATCTTTTTCTATTTGTGAGTACAGATGAGCAGAGTTTAAGGAGGGTTAATGTCTCCCATTCATCTTAATTAAAGAGTTAATTGCTCGTGCATCCTGATTTGGTTAGCTGATCTTGGTAGCATGAAAAGTCCTTGGTTCTATGTATCTTATTGACCAGTGTAATGACATCATTGGTAAGCCTCAGGATTTATTCATTTCTCACCCTATCCTCATAACTTTAATAGTCTTCTACAGGAGAAAAATTTCAAAAGCAAAGGAGTTCTTTCGTATGGCACAGAATACTGAAAGGTCTGTTCAGGAAGCTGTTAAATGTCTCAGTTCGGCTGTCATTGAAGTATTACTTCAAAGTCTAGAGTCAGGAAGATAAGTGAAAAGTAATTTTAAAGACCAATTCTGGTGAAATGTATATATGGTAATAGAACAAAACATCTGAAAATGCAATATCAAATGTAAGCAATTGATCTGTTTTTATTCAGTTTTTCACCATTGTAGTCATAGTCAAGGAAGCACTACTGCTAGGCACATGCAGCCGGAGCTGACAGCATACTCTGTGGATCTGAGGGCAGATTGGTTTAATCACGTGCCTTGTCATACAAAAGAAGCTCTGATCTGGTGAAAGACCAGTTAACTAACAAGGATGGCTGTGAGGATAGATGGATATATATGCAAAGCAGTTTGCCTTCCCCACCTAAGCTTCCTTAGCCACTCTTTATAAATATATGAATGAAACTTTAATCAAGGAGGACAATATGGGCAGTGCAGGATCTTCAGAATGTGGACACTAGTGATGTCCTCACAATAAAATTTGATACAAAAAGACAACTGTTGAACAAATGGTCTGAGCAATATGAGTTTTGTTTTTTTGAATGAATGAATTGCTTGCCTGAAGTGCTCAGTTAAAATTGCCCGATGTAAAAATTAGCTCCTGCAAGGCAAAAAGACAACAACTCATTGATAGCATCTAAGCTACTGAAAATGTAGACTCTGCTTCTCTTTGCTTCAAAGTGAAAAGTGGGCAACTGAGGCCAAAATTGTCAGATTGAAGAGCTGTACCTTGACCGTTCAACTATTCAGTAGATGCTACTGCTTGTCTCTTGTACAAGTAGATATGCCTACTCATAGATGCTCTCTCAGGTAAGTGCTTTTTGTATTTATTTTTTTCTTGTGTCCTGGAATAAATGTTAGTAAGTTCACAGCATCATAGAAGCATACTTCTTTACCAGTGGGTTTCTTTATAAATGAATGTTCCCTTCTCCCATTTTGAAACCTAGCAATGAAAAGGAGGTAGCATGTGGAATGAGAGATAAAGTAGAACTAATTGTTCTAAAAGCATAATTTGTGGTGGAAAAACATGTGTAAAAAATGAATCTATAGGTAAGTCCATTCTTTGGGAACCAACCCTTTATATAAGGTTCAATGTGAAGTGTTTTATGAAATCAAGTGGTATATAAATAATTCAAACAAATCAACATAAAAGGGAAATATTCTTACCTCCAAGTATTTATTTGTGGCCATTCTGTTATTGTCTTGTCAAGTCATCAGACCCCCAAGCCTTTGTCAATTTGGTGCCTGAATTGATATTACTTTATCAGCTATCTGCACAAAGGCAACTACTAAAATTCCTAATATCTGAAAGTAATAGGAAAAGTTATATTGTAAGTGTCTGAAAACATGCAGATAAACCAATAGTAAAAAGGGTAGATCTAACACTACTACTACAACAACTATCATCACTCATTTATCACTTTTCATGGTGCTTTAGAAGAAAAAGTCGAGCCCCCAAACTCAATTCCATGCCATTGGGTGTACAATCTCATACAAAATTTATGGTGGATAACTGTATGAGAGAGGATTAAATACAAGAGATACTGCCACTTCTTTTTGTCTCCATCCACAGCCAGGGCAGTGGCAGTTGGAATGGGAAGCCAAGGGGAGAACATTTTATCTGCTTCTGAATATAGACATGGTGGACCTGTATGTGCATCTTCTTGTCTCTCTCCATGGACAAAACAGTGGCAATTGGAATAGAGGGGGATTTTCATAAGTCTCTGGCTTTGGGATAATGGAGCTATGCTTGACTTTTCTTCTCTCCCTTCATAAGCAGGGCAATGGATGGAAGAAGGGTTTTTTTATTTGCTTCTGAATGTAGGCATAATGGAACTATCTCCCTTTCTCCCTTCACAGCCACAGCAGTGGTAGTTAGGATGGAAGGAGGACATTTCATCTGCTTCTGGTCCCAGAAGCATAGAATTGTGTAAAGATAATCACAAATCAGTAAGAAGATCCACCTGTGGCCTTGGAGAAATTGTGACCATTTTTAAACGACTTTCAGCCTGTTTAAACAGCCATACATCCTGTTAAAGGTGAGGATTATTTCTCTCTATTTTGGAGGACTATACCATGCAGTCTTCAGGTTTAAACTCGGCATTACAGTTTTTAGCTCCTCAGTTTTCAGCAGAGTGATATGCAATAAACACACAATGATATCTAAATCACAATAAATATAAGCATGAATGATTCTTAATGAATGTAAGAATGCCACCACTGAAGCAGGAAATCTTGAGCATGAAAGAGAATAAAAGAAGAGATGAAAAGTATCATGCAAGTTAGAGCTTCAAAGACCAGGAGAGATCTAATGCACAATTAGCATGAAAAATATAACAAAGATAGAGAACAAAAATACTAGCAATAACAGTACCCAGGATAGCAAAAGGAGTGTGTTTCTAGTTTATATTCCAATTAACTGTTATCCAACTGTTCAAACCTGACATTCAGTGGCACAAGTACAAGCAATTAGTGATCAGAGAAGGGCAGCGATTATTATAACCTTACAATGAGACATATATTCTTTAATCTCTTCTGCAGTCATTTGCTTTTTCTGTAATTTTCTGTTGCAGGAGTTTTCCATGATACATTGTGACTAGCCAGCTAAACTGGACCTTGGTTTTGTGGAAATCGTATTTGCCATCTTTTTCACAATGACCATAGCCATATTTATTTATTTATTTCCCACACTTTTATCCTGCCCTTTTCAACCCGAAGGTGACTCAAGGTGGCGTACAAACTGGCAACAATTAGATGCTGAACACACATAAATACATTGTTTAAAATAGTTTAAATCACATAATAAAATTCATACAAAAACAATTTAAAACTATAAAAATCAATGACTTCCAGGTTTAAATCCATGTCCTTTTTCATCGTTAAGCCATTCCATATTCTTTCACAATACTGAGTTTATCTGGTTACAGTGAGGTTCCAAAAGCTTGCCTCCAAAACCAGGTTTTTACTCTTTTCCTAAAGGTCAGCAGGGAGGGGGCCGATCTAATATCCCCAGGAAGGGAATTCCACAGCCGAGGGGCCACCACTGAGAAGGCCCTGTCCCTCGTCCCCGCCAAGCGTGCCTGTGAGGCAGGCGGGACTGAGAGCAGGGCCTCCCCAGATGATCTTGAATTCCTGGAAGGTTCATAAGGAGAGACATGTTCGGATAGGTAAGTTGGGCCGGAACCATTTAAGGCTTTATAGGCTAAAGCCAGCACTTTGAATTGTGCCCGGTAGCAAATTGGGAGCTAGTGGACCTGGCGCAACCGTGGAGTCATATGCTCCCTGAGTGCTGCTCCTGTTAGTAGCCTGACTGCCGCCTGCTGGATCATTTGAAGCTTCAAAACAGTTTTCAAAGGCAACCCCACATAGAGTGTATAGCAGTAGTCTATACAGGATGTAACCAGAGCATGGATTATTGTGGCCAAGTCAGATTTCCCAAGGTATGGGCGCAGCTGGTGCACAAGCTTTAACTGTGCAAATGCTCCCCTGGTCACTGCCGAAACCTGGGGTTCCAGGCTCAGCAATGAGTCCAGGATCACACCCAAGCTGTGAACCTGCGTCTTCAGGGGGAGTGTAACCCCATCCAGCACAGGTTGTAACCCTATGCCCTGCTTGGCCTTACGACTGACCAGGAGTACCTCTGTCTTATCTGGATTCAATTTCAATTTGTTCGCCCTGATCTAGACCGTCACAGCAGCCAAGCACTGGTTTAGGACCTGAACAGCCTCCTCAATAGCAGGTGGGAAGGAGTGACAGAGTTGGACGTCATCTGCTTACAGGTGACACCGCACCCCAAAACTCTGGATGATCTCCCCCAGCAGCTTCATGTAGATGTTAAATAACATGGGGAACAATATTGAACCCTACGGAACCCCACAAGACAATGGTTGTAGGGTTGAGCAGGTGTGTCCCAACAACACCTTCTGGGAACAACCCTCTAGGAAGGACCGGAGCGACTGCAAAACAGTGCATCCAAGGCCCATTCCTGTGAGGCATCCGAGAAGGATCCTGTGGTCAATGGTATCGAAGGCCACTGAGGTCCAGCAGAACCAAGAGGGACACATGCTACCTGCCTAGCTCCTGGCGACCAAGGCTGTCTCAGTTCCATGTCCCGGCCTAAAACCAGACTGTGCCAGGTCCAGATAATCAGTGTCTTCCAAGAATACCTGGAGTTGTAAGGCCACCACATGTTCCAGGATTTTGCCCAAGAAGGGGAGATTGGAAATAGGCCTACACTTGATGAATTGAGTGGGGTCCAGTGATGGTTTTTCAACAGCGGTTTTATCACAGCTTGTTTTAAGCTCGCTGGAATGTTACATTCCTTAAGGAAGGCATTAACTACCACCTTCACCCACTTGGCCAATCCCCCTTTGGCTTCCTTTAAAAGCCAGGATGGCCAGGGGTCTAGGATGCATGCGGTCACTCTCAGCCCTCCAAGAATCTTGTCCACATCCTCGGGTTTCACCAATTGAAATGAATCCATCAAAATTGGACCAGCCAGTGCTCGTGTTACATTCTCAGAGACTGCCATTAACATGGTGTCCAGGTCAGAATGGATCAAAGCGACTTTGTCTGCAAAGAACCGAGCAAATGCTTCACAGCATGTCGCCGAGTTGTCAGGGATCCCATCTGGAGCAGTGGGATTTAACAATCCTCTGACAACTCAAAACAGCTCCACCAGACAGTTCTTTGCGGACTCAACATTGGCCTCAAAGAAGGATTTCTTTGTGACCTTTATTGCCGTGGCATATGCCCATAGAAGGGCATCAAGCCATATTCGGTTTGACCCACTCGGGTCTGAACACCACACACATGCTAGCCTCCTCTTCCTTTGCTTTATTGCTGCCAGTTCCTCGTTGAGTGGTTTAGCTTGGCTATTTGAGAGGGGATGTTTTGGAGCAATTGTGTTTATTGCCCTAGTCAGTGCATCAACAGGATCACCAACTGAGGTGGCGGGAAATTCCCCAAGAGCCATCAGGAATCCTTCTGGATCCATAAGTCTCCTGGGGCAGACCACCTTAATGGGTCCTCCACCCCTGCAGAGGTGGGGAGGTGCAGTGAGCCTAAACCTGAACAGGTGGTGGTCGGTCCATGGCAACGGAGTAATAGAGAACTCCTGAACACTGCCACTGTCCTCTCATCCCTGGCAGAAAACCAAGTCTAATGTGTGCCCCACACTGTGAGTAGGGCCAGATACCTGTTGGGACAGCCCCATGGTTGCCATGGAAGACATGAAGTACTGAGCCCGCTTATGGTAGGGTGGCCTCGGCATGGATGTTGAAGTCCACCAGCACCATAAACCGTTGGGACCCCAACGCCAGGCTTGTGACCAACCTGGCTAGCTCAGGTAGGGAGACTGTAGTGCAGCAGGGTGGACGGTACACAAACTGAATCCCTATTCTGCCCCAGTCACCTACTCTCAGGTGGACACATTAAAAATGGTTGACTTTGGGATGGGGCACCTGTTCAGGGAGACTGACTCCCTATAAACCACTGCGACCCCACCTCCCCGCCCTCCGGATCTTGGCTGGTGCTGAACGGAGAAACCTGGTGGACAAAGCTGGGTCCAACCAGGTCTCCGTAATGCACATCAGGTCTGCCCACTCCTCCTGACCTGGCATTCAAAAGCACCACCCTTAATCCGGAGGGATCACCATCCTGGGTACCCAATCTTACCATATTGGGAGACCTTTTTAGAATTACTAATATACTCTCTCATTCCCTAGGCCAAATTAATTGTCTCCCTTTCCTGTATCTCCCCCCCCCCCCATTACTTCTATGAGGGCCCCTCAACTAGTGGAACTCTCCCCTCTCCCTGAACATCCAACCTCTCTTCCATCTCTTTGTGGCACACTAAAAGCTTTTTGATTTGTCTGATCTTCATTAAAAATTGACATTTCTCCCCTATCACCCCCCTCCCCCATCCTGCAATCCCCGAGCCCCTCCAGCCCTCCCCAACCCAATTAAAACTTGTGTGCCAGCTGCGCCCGTACCTTGGGAAGTCTGACTTGGCTACGGTGGTCCACGCTCTGGTTATATCCCGTTTAGACTACGGCAACACTCTCTATGTGGGGTTGCCTCTGAAAACTGCCTGGAAGCTTCAACCAGTCAAACGTGCGGCAGCCAGATTGCTAACAGGAGCGGGGTACAGAGACCATACGAGCCCTCTGTTACGCCAGCTGGCTGGCGATTAGCTTCCGAGCACAATTCAAAGTGCTGGTTTTGACCTATAAAGCCCTAAACGACTCCGGCCCAGTTTACCTGTCTGAACGGATTCTCCCCTATGAACCATCAAGGCTATTAAGATCTTCGGGGGGGGGGGCTGCTCTCGGTCCCACCACCCTCACAATCACGGTTGGTGGGGACGAGGGACAGGGCCTTCTCAGTGGTGGCTCCCCGGCTTTGGAACTCCCTCCCACTAGAGATTAGATCTGCTCCCTCCCTCCTGATGTTCAGGAAACTACTAAAGACCTGGCTCTGGAATGTGGCATTCGAGGACTGAATCTATAACCTCCTTCCACAAGGAAGGAGGATGATGAACTGCGACTATGATTATGACTATGACTATGACTGGATTGACGACTTGGCTTAGGTAATTGTGATGATGAGGTTTTTATTGTACTTTATTGTACTATTTTAATATGTAATGATGTTGCACTTTGTTGTACTTATATATTCTTGTACTTTCATATATGCTGTAAACCGACCTGAGTCCCTCGCTGAGGTGAGAAGGCTGGTATAGAAAACTTCTAAATAATAAATCTAAATAATAACCCCTGCAAAGTGCGATCAAAAGTGCTAAGTACATGGTTCAGTACTTACTTACTTACTTACTTACTTAGGCGATCCCTCGTTGGACGAGTAAGATGGTCTTCCATTATGGATTTCCTTGTGGGTCCGTATGTGGCTGTGGAGCCCTATTCTTGCTCTGCATCTTCTTCCGCAGTGAGGGCATTGGTTTCCAGGTGGAAGGTGGTCCCGGTCGGGGTTGGCTTGACGCGCCTTCCTCCTGGCACATTTCACTCTTTCACCCTCCACT